TCATATGAACTTTCTTTTTCAGATAACTATACAGGATGATTCATATATATGTGACGATCCAAACATATGTTTTTTCAAAAAGAATATACCTTTAATTTCATTAGATATTTGGATACTGAAGGACAAGTTAAATATGATAATATGGAACTGAGATCATCCATTCAGCAGTTATACAGGATTTTCCTCAATAAATAGGTGAATTTCCAGAGACCTATAAAAAAGTTGAGAATTGGGTTTTCGTCATGAATTAACAAATTCTATACCAGGTGAAATTTGAAATACCGAATATGCTCACTAGAGGGCAGCTCCTTGCCTTTTAGGTTTTTTTTTCATCATCCGGTTTTCTTAGAAATGACATCAACTTTCGTTTTTCAAATGAAATACCCTGTATTTTATTATAACGAATTCAACAATATCAGGTTTGATTGGGTTATTTCAAACGATATAGAGCTTATGGAAACTTCGAACGCGAATATCTTCGTAACCGTTTGAAATAACCCTATCAAACCTGTTGAATTTGTTTTGATAATCTCTAACCGATTATGGAATAAAATACAGGGTGTTCCATTTGGAAATCGGAAGTTCTTTTCATTTCCAAGAAAACCGGAAGATGAAAAAAAGTTCCTAAAATGCGAGAAATTTCCCTCTAGTGAGCATATTCGATGTTCTGATTTTCAGAAATATAGCTGGGAAAACAAAGGTGAATATGGGGGTATACCATGAGTTATTGTCTCCTGGTATATTATGTTGATGTTTGGTCAAAGTTTCTGGAATTTCGAACCTGCCAAATCAATGTGATGACCCATTTTCCAAACTGATCATTTTCTCGTGTCGAGGCGTTAAAAATCGATTTGGTTAGTGGTGAAAGAGTATTGTGTGATGAACAGACAGAATTTTGAATTCTTGAGATGGAAACTGCGCATTCGAAACTTGACCAACAATGGTGTTAGAGGGCTTATGAAGATCCACTATTTTTCGGAGAAAAGCGTGAATAAATTTGGAACGGGAAATCACAAGCTCATGTAATAAACATCCCTGAACTCATGTCATCGATCTATATCCAAGAATACATTGAAATAGAGGGCGTTCCTTCTTGAAATTTTGATAAAATTATCAGTATTCGAAATACATCATCACTACCACTACTGGCAAATTCATGAGATCTATATTTTGATCGACGATAAAGAGAACATCCAGAATTTGTTGATTTCTTAGACCTATTAATAATAGGTCTATGGTTGATTTATAACGAACACTGCGAATGGTGAACTTTCCACAACGTTTTCAGATGGTTTTGAAATTTGACTACCTATTGAAGAAGCTCATGGATAAGTCGAAACGAATGATCTCAGGACTCATTTATATTATTGAATATCATTTAAAAAGAACTCAACAGGCTTAGAGGTCTATCCAAAAATGTCAAGAGATTTAGTTTATTCCATAAAAAAAAATTATCAGAAGAAAAATAAGATAAGAAAGTTAATGTGATTCATGAACAATTTGGTTCTCAATTTTTTATTATTGTTTACCTACCCAGATGAGGGGTGGGCCAAGTTATGTGCGGAATACCCTGTACCTACACCTTTAGTTTCAGAGTTCAGTGACTTCAAGGTTTACATTATTCAGAATATTTAGAGATCTCTGTTTTTAGAGTCATCCCTGAATTTTTCGTTACCGAAAATTTGCTGGGCAAAATAATCTGACTATCCTGTTATTTGTTGAGAAGCGAATTTGTTATATAGGTATATAAGTTAGATGAATAGGTTTGTATAAGTGATGTGCTTATACTTATTATTTTCAAATGAATACCGATATACCGATATTTTATCAGACGTATCGTATAAATTACAGAGAAGTAGGAAGTAGGGTACCTACGCTATCTGCTTGCAATGTTGCCAGAACTTCAAGAAAGGAAGGAAAGAAAATATCATGAAGAATTCACAAAAACAAACTAGTTTAGCCAATTAATAGATCTTTGTTAATAGGTGGCAACCTGACTGTTAAGTGATTCGAAGAATATTATATTAATCAATTCCTGTGAATCCTGCGTCATTTCAATCCATTGTTAGCCTCAAAACCTGTCAAAATCAAGAAAAGTCAGCCTCATGTGGGTCCCGGGACATTCGGGAATACCCGGAAACGAGGAGGCAGACAGACTGGCAAAGATCGGTTCAGGACGGACCTCGGTCGGACCGGAACCAATCTTGGGAATACCAAATAGCCTGGCAATGTCCTCTATAGAGGAACAGCTGCAAAAGCAATTCCTCAAAATATGGCAGGACACACCAGGAATGAGACAATCGAAGCTCCACATAAAGGAACCTTCGAAGAGGCTCGCAAAAGAGGTTTTATTCCTAAACAGGCGAAACCTTAAAATGGTAGTGGGGCTCCTAACGGGGCACAACCACCTCAATAGGCACCTAGAGCTTATTGGGATCAAGGATGACCCCCTTTGCAGATGGTGCCTGGAAGATGACGAAACGTCATCAGATGTCCTCACTGAGTGTCCAGCACTGACGCATCAGAGGAGGGCTGTCCTTGGCAACATAATTTTGAGGCCAGAGGACGTAAAAGAGATTCAGCTGAGGAAGCTGCTGAACTTCTCCAAGGCAGTCGGCATACCCAGCTGAATGTCGTAACATGTGGGCGCACAATGGGCCCGAATAAGGAGGCCCACGTGCAGGGGGTTCACCCGCCCACCAGTGCTTCGAAGAAGAAGAAGAAGAAGAAGAAGAAGAAGAAGCCTCATTATTTATACTAATTAAAATGTTTGAGTTTGCCTTCTCTCAACAGTGAAATGAAACTCTCTAAGCAAGAGCATGAACATAGTATGTGTTCAGCCGTTTCGTCTTGCACACAGCAGAAACGACAGTTCGCATGTTGGATCAGACTCATCCTTACTAGGTGGTATCTTAGAAGACAGTAGTCAGTGACGTCAGTGTCCCATAAGCCGGCCTGTTAGAATTCGCAGGTTACCCCTGCTTCATTCTATAGGATCTGCCTGGTCATATTTTTAGATGGTTTGGGCAGAAACGCCTTCGAATGGGTTAACCCTGGTATTAGTAGTAATTTCATCCCATATTTTTCACGCAATGATGCATGAGATTTCGTTCATTTTCAATTCCCCGCATTCATTGTTTAATTTTGTTTGAGAAATACATTATCTTCAACTGACCTAAAGTGAACAGTTTTCGGGATATTTGATCGAAAATAGGTTTGCATATATTATTTTTCCTCATTTTCGAAGTACTTAGAGAATTACAAAGATGTTTTGGTTTTTCTTTCTGGTTGAAATAGAGATTTCTGTTCAGCTACAGAATGAAATAGATCTGAGAAATAATATCTGATCTATATACTCATCACCAGAAAAATATTTTTGTAATCTTCTACTACTGACGAAAATGATGAAAGATGACTATACAAGCCTCTATTTTCTGTCGAATATCTCGAAAACTGTTCATTTCAGCTCAATTGAAGGTGACGTATTTTTTAACAAGATCCAGCAATGAATTCGAGATATTGAAAATAATCGAAATAAAAGGTCTGGAACTACGTTAAAGACCGTATTTGTCCTCATCTCAGTAATAATGAAATCACGAGGGCTATCACCTGTCAAGCGTTGTCGGTCGAACTTCGGAAAACCTTGTATATATTTACGTATTACTATCGTAATTGTTATTCATCACGAATATACAACAAAATACCATCAAACTAGGTACTTGCACTAAAAATAAAGTTTACTGATAGTTTCATAAAACTAGTTAATACTGGAAGATTCTCGGTAGGAGGACCGTTATTTATATGTATTTCAGTAGTATTTTGAATAGTGGCTGTTAATCAACCAACCCATTAGATCATTTCAAACCGTTCAGCGAGTGTAAGAATATGGAGATATTTCTTACACCCAACGCCTAAATATTTATCATGACTCAAATCATCGAACATCAACTCATGCGAATTTCAATGTCAATTGCATATTTCTTTTTCTTGCTGAAATTCAAATAGTGAATTTCGCACTCATTATGAATCATCAGCTATATACAGCTATACTATCCTGATTTCGAAACATTATCTGACGCCTGGCAACGCTGTCTGCTATAGATATATCGATCCCAGCAGTGTAACAATGTTGCCAAGTCGAATGAATTCTCTTTATCACTAAGAATAGTGAAGAGATTTTATTACTGCGTGGAAAAGTACAGAAAATAGCATTTAGTATATGATATTCATATTTTTGAGAGCACAAAACAGTCTTATATCGTTTTTGCACTCGTCGCACCGACTCAAAATTTTTCCGCATGCAATGAATGCTTTTTCATCTCCATTCATGGATAAATCACCATTATACACGTTATCAGTATTATGTTGAGAACATACTATTTCGTATCGGCAAAAAAGTTTTACGAGACAAAGAGAAGTATAGTCGATGACTGCAGAATTTTTATATACCTATACATTATTCATAAAAACCATCCGCTATATTTGCGAGACACAATATTCATAGCCAGTTGTCCATTTTGATATTGATAAATCGCAGGAAAACTCATATTTTTCTATTCAATGAACAATAAAATACTAAAAAAGTATACCAAGAAATACAAACACTGTGAATTAAGATACATACATACGTAGTAGCAAAGATAACACCAATAATTATATGAGTTGTTATTTCCAGTTCAATGCCAATTGTCTTGACTGAATGCAACTGAATGGTATACAATTATGTGGAAACTCAGCGAATTCAAACCAGTGTTTTAACTTTCTACTAATGGAGAAATAATAATAGAATATAATTGTTTCAGATGTGAATGAAAATATCACTCGATTAGTTTTCCTCGTAAGAATCACTCAAAGTTGAATTAGATTTTACCGATTCTGATTGGATTAACACAATGTGATATAAATCTGGTAGGTCAGCCAGGACTTTTTGTTGCCAGCACTGGCATCGTTGCTCGACGCGTCACTCGAGGCACCATAAAGATATCATTTAATTTACGATTAGTCCCGATCTCGAGGCAAACAGTCTACGGTTGGTAAAATAACATTATTTGATAAAAACATCCTAATTTTAGTTGAAGATGTTAATTCATTTCGGTAGTCAGAGTCAGTTCATAAAATATTCTATGTGTCATCAGATAAGCGATTGTGTAGGTAGCAAGGATCCATACTCTTGATCTCAGTAACTGTGAACTGACAGTCACAAAAGTTTGAGGTTAACTTCAAATATGATATCAGTGGGTGAAATGAAGGAAAAACTGTGTGCTGGCAATCAGCAACACCTTCTACAGTTCTGGAAAGATCTGGACCTACAGGAGCAGCAGAGTTTCATGGAGCAGCTGAGCACCATCGATTTTGATAAGGTCAATAAAGTTTTCCAGACAGCGCAAAAACAAACACAGTCAGATGTTATGAAATTAGATGACCATATGAAACCGATTCCAACACATCAGTTCGAAACTGAAAATGGATTGGACGCAAAAACTATTGAAACCTACAGATATACAGGATTAACTGAAATTTCCCAAAGCCACGTGGCAGTATTGTTGTTAGCGGGTGGTCAAGGTACTAGACTTGGAGTTAATTATCCCAAAGGTATGTTTCCTTTGGACTTACCATCTGGAAAGACTTTGTTCCAAATACAAGCTGAAAGAATCAGGAGGGTAACAAGATTAGCTGAAGAAAAAACAGGAAAACTAGGCAAAATCTGTTGGTATATCATGACCAGTCCAGCTACTCATGAAGCAACTGAAAGTTACCTGGAGAAACACACCTACTTTGGATTGAACAAGGAAGACGTTGTTCTTTTCCAACAGGGTCTATTTCCTTGCTTCGATTTTGACGGGAAGATAATACTGGATGAGAAAAATGCTATTTCAATGGCACCAGATGGCAATGGTGGTATATATGCAGCCTTGACAAAAAATAATATTGTCGAAGATATGAAACGAAGAGGGATCCAGTATGTTCATGTTCATAGTGTGGATAATATATTGGTCAAGGTGGCAGATCCAGTATTCATTGGGTTAGTTTTCATATTTTATTTCAATCAACAGCATATTTCAGCCTCATTTTATGAACAAAATTATCCGAACCATGCCCGAACCTTGCACCTTGCATGCCCAATAGCTAAGTATATTAATTATATCAGAAGAAAATTCATATGAGATTTATAAAAAGCAAGGGAAAAATTTTGCTCGGGCCGTGGGTCCAACTAAATCAAAAAAAGGCTCTGCTAGTACCCTGTTCTGCTAGCTCAGCTATTTGCTCATGTACTTCCCTGCTTCAATGTTGCAATAATCCTCGCAATAATTAATGATACCTACTTATGCAGGGTGACATTGATACAAATATTCCAAACCTTATGAGAAATAAGCTTGACGTATATATTATGAAATGGCATGGATAAAAAAGGTACAGGAATTAAAATAAAATTTGGGGTGAGATCCCTTTTTCCACCTTAAGTTTTACATTGTACATTGTACCAATTCTGGCGCTATGCCAAATATACCTACAGCGTGTTTCAAAATTCAGCATCAAAATTTCATGCAGGGGCTCATTTTTGTGGTCAGAATAACACTTTTATCTTCTCCTATAAATATATATCTGATGCAAACGCTTCGTTAACGGCTCGGTTAACAATCTACAGAGCTTAAAGTTTCCGGGACGAGTTCTCGGAAGTTTCAAGTTTTTTTTTCTATTTTTATCTTCATAAATCTTTTCGATTTCGAAAGTTTCAAATCATATAGAAACATAGATTACGTCCTAGGGTTTAGATCATACAGTATACCGGTAGATGGTAAGAATCTACAGGGAGATATTTTTTCAGGGGTCAACCCTTCTTGAATCCATAATTTTTTTAGAGGGGCACCGCTGGTAGATTTGAAAATACGAAGTGAATTCCTCATTTTGGTTATGAACTTTTTTGTCTCTTGTAACTTCGTTAACTGGCATTTCTTCGGGTATTATAGGTATACAGTTCAAATGCTTATCATCATCTGAATATTTAATAACAGATCGTTCCCTATTTTTTATTAATTGATGAAAGCAATTGTTATGCTTGTTGATTGTTATAGCTGCTGATCTTTTGTTTTTCGGTCTTTATTACATTAGTATTTTACTCTATCAAAATCATCGAGACTTGTTATTTATTATTTCATATTATACCTGGCAGTTATACCTATTATTTATTTAACAGTATTTTTCATCCTATAACCAACACAGAATAAATGCATACTCTATATAGAACCAGGTGAATCCATAAATATAATATGTAATCAGAAAACGTCATCATGTGGATTATTGAGATTATTATATCTAAAGACATAACATAAGTAGCGATCGGCGATCCGCCAAAGAAGAAGTCGCAGAAATTTGTGTTATAACACCGAAAAGAACCGGTGGACATTCAGCCTCGCAATTAGCTAAATGTGTAATCACAAAATTTGTGGAGAAATTCATACTAAATACTGATATGAGCAATTTACTTACACATATAAATAGAAACCTGCAAGAATCCAGACCTCGATCCAGACAGCACAAAGTGATTCTGAGTTCTGAGTAAACGGATTTTGAATAAGCTATGAAAAATCGATTTTCCCTGAGAAATTTGACTCTCTTTATCTCAAACACGAAGCAAGTTATTAGGACATATTATGTTAGAAGGAAACAAAAAGTTTTCTCTTTCACAGCGTATACCTATATCTAATTAATATATTTTTTCTGTGACGGGAAAAAAGTTTGGCATTTCATCTCTGTTGGCAGGTTATATAAAATGTCACTTTTCATAAATAACTTTTCTCCCGTGGGAAAAAAGTGAGTACTTTTTTCCCAGATATATCACATATATACAAACTGTTGATGGCTTTTGTTGTGCTATAGTTCCGAAAAAGGAGTCAATAATACCGTCTCCGAGAAAGAACCGCAAGTTCTTTTGTCTTCCATTCGACTTCGCGGTTACGTACATTACTAAACAACTACTGAATTCGCAATTTTTTGAAATCAAATCACATAATTAGACTGATAGAAGTGACATCAGATATTTGATGCTAAAATCTACTACTTTTTTCCCTTGTATTATTAATAACTATTTTTCTGTGACAAGAAAAAAGTTTCACATTTCATCTCTGCTGACCGGTTATGAAATGTCACTCTTTATTAATTACTTTTTTCCCACGAAAACAACTGAGTACCTACTTTTATCCTGGGTATATAATATATATAAATATTTTTGATGGCTTTTGTTGTGCTAGTTACTTAAATTACTAAACAACCAATAATATCGCAATTTCTTGAAATCAAATCACATAATTAAACTGACAGATATTTGATTAATTCAAAAGAATGATGAAGATGCCTATATACAAAGATGCGTGAAACGCCGATATAATTCCTGTTGAAAATTGGCTTTCGGGGAATTTGCTGGAATTTTCAGTATATTGTAAAATTCGTGATGCTGATCAGATGACTCGATTACTCGCCCAATTATCAACGCTCTGAACTCAATAGATTGATTCAATTATACAGGGTGATGAGGTTAGGTTCTTTCAAAATTTCGAATGACCATTGTGAAGTTTCTTTTTTGAATACCAAAACCAAATCGACTACATTTTGTTTGCTAATGGCCGGTGGAAATCCACTATAGAGTTCAATGATATCTGCACGGTGAGGTTGGCTCAAAATTTCGAATGACCATTGCATGTGAAGTATCCTTTTTGAATACCAAAACCAAATCGACTACATTTTTTTTGCTCATGTGGCCGTTGGAAATCCACTATAGAGTTCTATGATATACCTGTACGTACTCACGAGCTAACTCACGATATACAGAGTGGAAAGTCTAACTGGAACAAATTCTGTAACTTGTTAAATAAAGGTTTATCTCAAAATGCCTGAAACATGTCGATTTTTATTTTCAAAGGGGCATATTACAAAGAGATTTGTTTATCTTTTTAATTATCTGGAGGGTTGTAGCCACCCCCAACTTTTTTTTTTCAAATGGAAGGGTAGGTTGATTAATTTTTTAATGGCAAGCTTGTTCAATTGCAAATACACTTCAATTGTTTTCTGTTACTTTTTATAAGCAATGTGTCGGAAATAAATTAAATAAGGAAATAGTTACTGAAATTATACGATCCGCGTACGCACCTGACTACGACGTAGACAGTATAAGATTTTTTGTATAGTGTATAGGTACACTGTTTTTTACCTGATAGGCCCAATGAAACACCTGCTCGATTTGAAATGAATGTGATTGATTTGTTAGTACTTGTTTGCAATCCCACGTGTGAATTAAAACCGAAAAATAAGACAATGCCCTATTTAACCGAGACGCATCGTATCGAAATTTTAACGATGATCGGATATGGGGACAGAAGTCGAACACAGGCTGAAGTTGCTCGTTTGTTTACTGAAGTTCATCCAGAATTACCATCAATTAATCGAAGTACGATCAGTAAAATTGAAACTCGATATCGGGAGTTGGGCCACGTAAGGGATGCTCCTCGACAAAAGGTTTTAAAAGTCGACGAAGAAGCCCAGTTGAACATATTGTTGGAAGTTGAAGAAAATCCTGTTACTCCAGCTAGGCAAATAGCTCGCGTTCATGGTGTCAGTCACACAAGTGTTTTGAAAATTCTGAAAGCAGCCAAAAAGCACCCATATAAAATGCAAAACCTGCACGAGCTTAACGAAGATGATCCTGATCGTAGAATCGAATTTTGCGAACGAATGATGGCTTCTATCGATGGTGGACGAATTGCTTTGGAATGGGTGCTGTTTTCCGATGAGTCTACGTTCACATTACATGGGCATGTCAATCGACAGAACTGCCGTTATTGGGCTGACGAAAATCCCCGTTGGATGCGTGAATGCCATACTCAAAGGCCTCAAAAAACAAACGTCTGGGCAGGAATTATTGGGGATCGCATAGTAGGTCCTTTTTTTTTCAATGGAAACGTAACCGGAGAAACATACCTTAATATGCTCCAACAAGAACTGATTCCTACGTTAGTAAATTTATTCCCCAATAATTTGGATCCCAACTTATTTGACCGACGGATGTGGTTTCAACAAGATGGGGCACCACCACATTTTGCTCAAAATGTACGGACCTACATTAACGAAGTGTTTCCAAATAGGTGGATTGGAAGAAGGGGCCCAATTGAGTGGCCAGCAAGATCACCCGATCTTACCCCATTAGATTTTTTTTTATGGGGATATCTGAAGAGCAAGGTTTATGACACTAAACCTAACGACATCGCCGAGCTTCAACAACGAATCACGGACGAAATTAGGCAAGTAACGCCGGAAGTGTTACAAAATGTTCGGAATGCTTTTTATTATCGATTGGGATTTTGTCAGCAACAAGGTGGAGAGCAGTTTGAACATTTATTGCATTAAAATAATTTCAGTAACTATGTCCTTATTTAATTTTTTTACGACATATTGCTTATAAAAAGTAACAAAAAAAAAATGGGAGTGTATTCGCAATTGAACAAGCTTTCCAATAAAAAATTAATCAATCTACCCTTCCATTTGAAAAAAAAAAGTTGGGGGTGGCTGCAACCCCCCAGATAATTAAAAAGATAAACAAATCTCTTTGTAATATGCCCCATTGAAAATAAAAATTGACATGTTTCAGGAATTTTGCGATAAACCTTTATTTATCAAGTTACAGAATTTGTTCCAGTTAGACTTTCCACTCTGTTATACAAAGTTGGTCCACAAATACCAAATATTCCAATTATTTTCAAAAGAGTGAGCGGTGCAAATTCATTCCTTTTTGGACATTTTGTATTATACCAATATCAACATCGGTTCAAGATAATTACATCTCTCAAATCAGACTTACATATTTTATGTTATACACAAAATGTTTTAATTTCCATTAAACATCATACGATATGTTGTCGAATACTGTTCTCACATATGGGGTTTAGCACCCAAACATACTCTGATGCTCTTAGATTCCATCCAGAGAAGAGCCATTCGCCTGGTAGGTGATGCCACACTTAATAACACTTTGACATCATTGGAACACCGTAGAAAGGTCGGCGACCTTTCACTTTTTCATAGATACTTCCACGGATATGTTTTTCAGATATCTTTGATATCATTCCACGACTAGCTATACCAGCCAGACGAACTTGACAAGCGCACTATATCAAAACTCGTTTCTCTATAGAACGGGACAGCTCTGGAATTCTTTGCCTATGGAAGTATTTCCAAGAACTTATAACCTCCAAAAGGTAAAAAAAAATCCTCCCTATAGGTCGTGTGTACGATGACCCACCCTGGAGGCAAAATATTGAAACACAACCTCATTCTTCTGTGAATTATTGAAACACAACCTCACATTTTTACTTGGTTACAGAGGAATCAAAGGATTGAACTAGTTTTTCACAATATTTTAGCATACGAATCATGTTTTTTGCGCTATTCATTAATTCGAGCATGCCTTCGTATTGTGCTGTTGTACAATGCACAAAAAATGCAGCAAGAGACTAAAGAATATGATTTTTCAGGTAAATAGTAATCTCACATAGTTATCATTATGAAATGTTGTCATTCCTTATTAAAATTCCTTCTGCCTTCTGTCACTTCTGCAATACAAGCTAATACTGCTAATAGATTGAAAATGTCTACAACACACACGATCGTCAGCATGTCAGACCAGTCCTCCCGATTGATTGCATGAATCCAATTTTCTGGCATTATTTTAGAAATTTCAGATTTATTTCTATTAGCTTCTATCGCAGAAAGAATTCCGATGAGAAATCAGAGTAATTACCAAATTTCAAAAATGAAAACTATATGTGAGTGACTATAGTAGGTACTTACTTTTAAATCATATTGTACCAACCGGATTACTTCGTCTTCCGCTGCAGTTTTTGTGCATTTCACAACAGCATAATGTGATGGCATGAGCGAATTGATGAATAGCGGAAAAATACGATTCGTATGCCAAAATAATTGTGAAAAACTATTTCAATCACTTGTAAACAAATAAGTAAAGGGACGTTTGTGTTTCAATATTTTGCCTCCAGTGTCGGTCATCTGACAGTTCTTGCACGCAACCCATAGGCACGCACGATGTTCTTCGAACATAATAGGTTAGTTTAGTTCATTCTTACCAGTATATCACCTGACGAAGCTACTGTATTAGCGAAACATGTCGTGTGTTTGAGAATTTTGTGGAAATCTTATCGTTTGTGAAGTTTCTACATTTGCCATGGATTTCCATCAAGTAACGGCCGAGTCAATTAAAAAATTATAGGGATTCATGTTTGGGCGCACCAAGCGATAAAAAAATCAAATGATTGAAATCCCGTAAAACTTGGTGAGGAACTTGATCATTTGTGATGACAATCCTTTCTGCAAATACCTGAAGTAAACAGGGTGGTTCCGAAAGTATTGACCATTGATGAAGATTTCCTAGAATAAGTGATGATTGGTTCAATTCCATGTACATACAAACCTGCTGGGTTATTTTGAACAATTTACTGTGGAATATTCCGAATTATGTTGATGTATACAGGGTGTCCCTCCGGGAACTGCATCGATCAATGTATAGTAAACCATAGGTGGACCGAATTTAAAAATCTGGGAGTTCACTTTTGTTGATAAGTGCTATCCGGCTAAAATATTTTGAAGATTGTGGCCTTTCCGGTTATACCGGAAGTGTTGCCAAAGTTCTCTGGAAATTTGATTTAAATGGCTGAATTTTGTGACCTTTCACCTTGAAAAACTTACGACGCAGACACGAGATTACATAAGACTTTTGGGACAACTTTCAGAACGTCAAAATGTCAAAATGAAGGTGTATTACCAGTTTTCAGCTCATTATCTCTCATTCCGAGGTAAAACTTCCATTTGACTGGAGTATTCCCCTCTTAATAAAAATAACGTTTGTGATAAAATAAAAACAATGTATGCATGTGTGATGAATTAGTGACCACTTAAATCAATATTGAAATGAAATGTTTTTTTTTTCAAAACTATCCAAAAATGATTGCTAAGAAACATACATGATGTCAAATTTTTTGACAATAACTATTTCTTTCTTCTATATAGACCACTCGACCGATCTCCATCACGTGATCGTCTCGTTTATTATACTTACTCCGAGTAGCAAGTTATTGGCCGAGGTCAAGGACCACTGGATTTTTCCACGGTTTATTTTAATTCAGCGATGTTTTCAGACTCTGCTTTGCAGCCCTTTAAGGGTGATTTTTTGTCAGTATTCACGCCACTGGTGAATTTCAGTCTGGATTTTTTTGTCCCTGAATTTGATTAAGTACTCCGTTGCGCCAAAATTCACTCCCCTCTCCCCTCCTCCCCTTCCAACCCCCAATATTCCAAAGAAAGAATCGTCAAAGCTATTGCATAAAGAAAAAATGAGTCACTCTTCATGAACGTTTGTCTCAAGTTGATTTGTTCTCGAATTACAAAGGTATCAATTTATTCGGAAAAAATCGTTTTTGTGGTTTTATTAACAGTCATTGATGTCATTAGGTTCGAAATTATGATTTCAATGGCGTCGGTAAGCCGTTACGATATTAATGGTGAATAAAATATAATGGTTTTTCTGAGTTTTATGTTTTATATTCCATTCACACTGAGGATACAATTTTCTTGTTTCCTGTGTTACTTGTCTATCTTGGACGAAGGCGCTGAAGGGCCACCTATACTTTTTTTTTTCGAATCCCGACTTTAATCTCGGACCCCCGACTTTAATCTCGGATCTTCGACTTTAATCTCGGGATCCCGACTTCAATCTCGGACCCCCGACTTTAATCTCGGGATCCCGACTTAAATCTCGGATCCCCGACTTTGAAGTCGGGATTAAAAAAAATGTATAGGTGGCCTTTCAGCGCCTTCGTAATCATGCATAGTTTTTGAGGCAACAATAAAAATTCTCCAAAATTTCAGACAACTCCTACCTCCTCTTCCTTAGTTACGAACGATGTTCTTCGAACAATATGGGAATTTCCTTTCGTGTTGATGTAGGTAGGTACCTAGATGCTCATTAAACACCCATAGAGATTACTCACTAATCTCCTCGGTAACCTCATTGAATATCATTCTGAGACTTCTGATAAATAACCCCTACATCGATTCCTATATGAATTACACTGTCACTATTTTGAAATTGTACGATAGGCGCAGGTTTATATGGAATGCATGGCACTATGCCAATTTAGAAAAGGGTACCTTTTATTCATCTTTAGATATTGATTAATTACCTTCCTTTAATCGAACTTTAACGTCCTTGTAATTAAGTAATGATGCATCTGGGGGGCATGACGGTTAGTTCATTGTCAACTGATTTCGTCTTGTTTTAGGTATTTTACTAAAAAGGGGGCTGACTGTGGAGCGAAAGTCATACCCAAGAAGGATCCTCACGAACCAGTAGGAGTTGTTTGTCAAGTGAATGGCAGAATTCGGGTAGTAGAATATAGTGAAATAACTGACAGAACAGCGAATCTCCGAAACGAAGAGGGAACTCTGGTTTTCAATGCTGGGAGCATCTGCAACCATATTTTCACCGTAGATTTCCTGGAAAAGGTCTCCCTACACCACGAGCACGAACTCAAGCTGCACGTGGCCAAAAAGAAGATATCCCACATCAGCGTTGATGGGAAAAAAGTCCACCCTACCCGGCCAAACGGTATCAAGATTGAAAAGTTCATCTTTGACGCCTTCGAATTCTCCGAGAACTTCGTTACCTGGGAAGTGTCCAAATTCTCAGAGTTCAGTCCATTGAAAAACTGCGATGAAGATTTGAAAAATTGCCCGTTTAGTTGTCGCAAAGACTTGCTCAATCTTCATAGGTCATATATCGAGAATGCTGGTGGCATTGTATTGAGTGAAGAAGTTGAGATTTCACCACTGTTGTCTTATGCGGGTGAAAATTTGACTGATAGAGTGATGGGACAAGTGTTTGATCATCAAATTGTTCTTTCTGCTGACACAGAAAAGTCTATTAATGGGTTTTAATGTCTACTCAGATTCCATAAAACTTATTGTACATATAAAACTGCTGTTCATAAATGTAAATAATCATTTGTTATATTGAGTATAGCGAGGAGTATAGGTAACGGTAATATATACTTTTTTTTCAAATATGACTTGTTTTCGCTTGATATGTTGATATGATGTCAATTGCCAATAGAGGACTTTTGTTGCAAACCCAAAAATCTCTACCACTGTAGGAGCGATATTATGGAAGTTTGTTTAATCAAATGGTTTTATTTTGATGAAATATGATTGTAGGAGTCTATACTCAGCTTCGTTGTGTCCGCTATTCAGAAAAAATTAGTTTTTGTGAACTTCACATCTGACTGGTTGATAATCATGTTGGTTTTGTATTGATTTGAACATAAATAATTATTCCACAAGCTTTACAACTCTTTTTTTATAATTTTAGACTTTTGCATGAGTATGGCCATATTGCCGACACCGTTTTAGCCTCGGTTTTAGCTATATAGTCATTTACACTTTTTTCAATTGGATAAAAAATAATACTAACCAATTTTTCATGGTAAACTTTTTTCAGGTTCTGAACGGTTCTGAACTGTTCTGAACATGTTTAACTTGATCATGAAGTTATTGCCGCGTAACTCAATATTAACAGTTAACTTTTTAACATAGAAGATCCCTTAAGGTGGTCATATTTTGTATTCATCTACCTTATTTTCCTACTTTATAGTGCAACCATTAAACTTCTTTACCATAGAATAATAAATAATGATGTTCATACATAAATAATCTGAAATATGTGACAAAATTGTTGGCAAGTAAAATTGACCACGATATGACATGAATATTTCAGAATGCAAGCAGGTGCATTAACATAGTTTACAACTAGCCAAAGCTGAAATACACAAAAATATTTTTTTTCGGAATAACTTCAATTAGTGAGCTGAGTAGACTCCTACAATCAGATTTCATCAGAATAAAATCAGTTGAGTAATCGAACTTCCATAATATTGCTTCTACAGTGGTAGAGCTTTATAGATTGGCCACTTGGAGCGAAGTTTCCCATACATTGACTTTTTTCAAATTCTCATTTGAGCTCTTCATGTATGTACCTACTGATAATGTATAAAGCTTTTCGCCACAGACCTTATGAGTTCAACTTCAGCACTATAACGCGTATCATGTATTCAACAATAATATACCACGGAAAAGTGTCTTTAGAAAAAACTTGAATTTTTCAGTGTTGAGCACATAAGAATGTTCTTTTTGTGCTTTAATCTTTTGTAAAAACTTTCTGACGAGTGAGTAAAACTTTATTGAAATTCATCAAATTTATTAACCTATTACATAACTTCAATTCATATTTTCAAATCTTTACTCACTTTCAGAAATTACTCCTGATGATGGCTTGTAGCCGAAAACGTTTGAGAATTTGCTTGTAATAAAGACTGTGTACTATAGCCTACGTTTGTTAATATTCTGATAATTTTTGAGCGCCGCCTTGGCATGTTTTGGAAAAGAATCGGTTGTATTCAATTCGTCCGGTAATGTTCCCATTCGATTTCTTTTCCTCTTCAAAAAAGTGCACTGTGCATCTTGCTACTTCGCCTCTCCAGGCTAGTGCCATTATATGATAAAGCTTCTCTTGAAGTCCTTCTGGACTGTAGCCTGAATTCAAAGTAGAATAACTCACGAATTTCCTCACCAATTTGAAATCGGTTTTCACCGATGATTAGCCTAATCTCTTGAGAGTGTGTTGTGGCAATATGAAACTTCTGTAATTTCAGATAACATTGCTACAGGGTGATAATTGAATGGGTGTAAAATTGCATCGTGGTCGTCACCTTACCGTTTGAACAGATAATTTTTAAAATTTTTGTTCTCACCTGTATCCTCTTGATTGGTGCTTCCTCTCGAAACATTCTCGGAATTTTCAAATTCAGAGCTTTGATAATAGTGTTATAAATATAAATTCAAAATGATGCATTTTTTTGGCCGATTAATTGAATGAAATTAAAAGTTGGAATTCTTTTTCGAAGAATCAACGTTGTATGTATAGTCGTCGGATATGTGATCGTGTTCGAACACAGAAAATTCTGAAAAAGTCTATACAAAGTGATACAAGACATACTGAATGATGGAATGGAGAATAAAGTAGTCTTCAGTAGATGAAACATAATTTTCTCTGTGTTACTAGTGGAATAATGCAGTGTTACTTCGTCATGAGGATGTCTGGTGTCTGACCTCGAAATGGTTTTGTAATTTTTTGGATCGAATGAAAGTACGCATTTTTAATCAAAATTATGCATTTTCGTTAAGATAACTTATACAATTCAAATTATTACGATTGCAGTTCCAAAAGTATGAAATCCATATTTATTCTTGACGATGGATATACAAGGTGCGATAAAAAATATGTCCAGATTGTCCTGGGATGAAGAAGAATATGTTTGAACGTGATGCAAATCGCTATGATCCGAAAAAGAAATATAATGTCGGTCATTGTCGTAAATTATGAAATGAATAAATATAGTAACTTTTCATGAGGTTTATACAAGGAAATATGAAAGAGACCTCACATTTCCCAAATTATTGGTCGAATATTTGAAATTTTTCCGGCTCTTAATTTACACTCTCTAACAAAGAGAACGAATCGCAAAAAGAAAATCCCGACGCCAATGACGCATAGCCCAAAGATGACGCTTTCTACCTTTGGTTGGAATCCAACATCGGCCAAGAAATGTTCGAGTTATAGCTTATCAAAATTAGTCAATTTTTAGGCGGTCCCACTTCATCTGGTAAGTAGTTTATTATTTTCTTGAGAAAATAATAATCCCCGCTTCAAATGTCTGTTATGTTAGATGCGAACTTGATGTTCGTCAATTATTCAGGAACGAAATTTATTTATAGTAACTTGGTTGAACAGGTGGTGTTTCTATACAGGGCCAGCCTCCTCTCCACAGAAATTTTTTTCGGCTGATGATGGACCCCTTATGGGTCAGAAACATGTCCCTCCCCTCGCATATTAATTTGAAATAAAACATTGCGGAGACGAATTGGATAGTTTTTATTGTAATATACATCTATAATTATGATCATATATTCTTATAGGACATCTAAGGTGAAGCAGTTAGACAAAATAACAAAATTATTTGTTTTATTTTATATTGAAATATTTTTGCAGGAGGTGAGAGAGCTGGTTTGGGACAGTTTCCTTGGATGGCCTTGTTAGGATATCGTCGTGAGTATATTGTGTTACATGGATCATGATATCATAATGACTATATTTATAAAAAAACATTTTTACATTATTTCATTCCTCTTCACTTTGTCATTAGTAGTAGAACCAATATTGAAAAGCATATGTATATTATTATATTGAGTTTTCTGTGATTTGTTTGAATTTTTGTTATGTTTTGGAAATTGATTTAATCGATCATATAAGTATAGGTGTACCATAATTATGATGCTCTCACTCATTCCATTGATATTTCAAAGCTTATGGAATTTTTTCATTTTTCCGAAGACGAATTTTGATGGTACGAACTGATAAATGGTGATTCAGCATGCAGTATCCATCATGAACTCGAGGCAATTTTTTTTATCATTTATCTCTTGGAGCGCACGAAAGGCAATCCCTATATTATGAAATTATAAAATTCTAGATTTTTACGTAAGAAATATACACACCTAGTTCAATTAAATAAACGGTAGTTTGTACGCGGAAATCGACTTTAGAAAATTTCTGATTTGGGTATTTATTTACCATCAACTATTTATACCCTACACCAATTTTTGAAATTTGATATCGAAGGGTTTTAAGGTTACAGAGAAAAAATCGTCTTCAACCTGTCCCATTCAAAGGGGCGTAGCTCCCTTAGAAAGCATTTTCGGACCCACTACACTGTTTTACCACTAACCAAACCGATTTTTTAACGCCTCGACACGTGTTTCGCTAACTATGTTAGCATCTTCAGGAGAAGATTAAAACTAAATATCCTATTCTAGTGTGCTGCTTATATACTAGGTATATGTTCACCCAACTGTGAAAAATACTAACCGTCAAGTTAATGTTTGTCATGGTTGATGAGTTCACATGTTAATCTAAATTTTTATTTTACTAAACTATATAGAGGGCTATATGGAATAGGTCCATTATCCTTATTCATTACTCTATTACTATTCTTAAATATCTCTAAGCTTTCATATGCGTCTAGTTTTCTAATGTTATTAACTTGCTTAACTAATTTGAGGTTAGTAATATGTGTGTTATGATTGTGATTGACAGGAACTTTCAGCCTTATTTTTATGCAAGGATTACGCCCCCGAAAAGAATGACGCTCACTTTTGATTCACCCTGTAAAGAAGAAGAAAAAATCGCCGACTTTTCACGGTATTCCAATGATGTTGAAAATGTTTTTTAAATTTTTTCAGTATTCTAAAACACGAAGTGTCTGAGCTTTGAAAAACATGATATGCTCTGTTAGGGTGTAAAGTAGCTTTTCGAACGAAATAAGAATCAGACTTTTTGCTAAGCAGCTTTGGCGATGGATCGGACATGATTTTCCCATGAGAAAGTATTGCGGATGGAAATACCGAGCATACATATACAGGGTTTCCTTATGAGGTCTTTACAGAAACCAAAACATTTCTATACAAGCGATTTCACCTCAGTACAAAGTTGCTTATAGTTTGGGCTCTTGACGTCTCTAAAGTTACAATTTTCAAATAGTTTCTGCTTCATTATTTTAAAACGAATCATGATATTCTACTCAGATTTGGTACGTTGGCATATAGTTTCATAAAACCCATATCATGATCATTATAAATATCATGCCATGGGCGCAGAATTTGATTTTTTCAGTGAATGAACATCTGAAATTTTTACCTCATTTGACATCAACTTTTTTGTAGTAATCAACTTACGCAATCCAAATTTTATATTC